AGAGAGAGAGAGAGAGAGAGAGAGAGAGAGAGAGAGAGAGAGAGAGAATATCGAGCTCGGCGCGAATCGAATGGAAGGCGCCTGATCGATCTCCCGAGCAGTACGCGGAACTGAATCCGGATCGGATGAACGAGGGAACCGAGCAACTTTATGCGCCTGCTCTTCCTTCCGTGGGAAGCGGGGCCAATCTCTCTCTCTCTCTCTCTGTCCCTCTTCCCTCCCCCTGTCCCGCCCGCCCCACAGACAGCCGCCGTCGCTCGTTCTCCTCGTTACTTCCGCGCCTGGAATCCCACGCTTACGCCGCCACCGCGGACGTCAGAGGCGTAAATCCGAGAGAGCTTCCTGGGCTGCGAAGCGTCGCGGCGTCGTTAATGATAGCTCCGAGCCGCCTCTGTGCCGCGCGCGCTCTGCCCGTGGCCTGAGAACGCTCCGTAGCCTCTCGGCTCGAGCCCGCAACTCCTACAGAGATGTTCAAATACCGTTGACTTATTCCCTTCCAACCGTTTCGAAATAAATGATTCCGCACAGTTTATTTTTGTCACGGTTCAACGTTATTTGAACAAAGAGCTGTCGAAGAGAGTCACTATCGTGAAAGTCAAAAAAGATGGGAATCTTTGCCGATCCATACCACTTATGTTTTATTGACAAACGGAATCCTTTTAGTTATATTTGTTAAAAATAACACTTCTCGCTCGTGCCAACATTACTACAGTTACTACAGTAGCAACTGGAAAGCGTCTATTAATTTATCTCTTACAAAATACTGACTCTCACAGATTTACTTGAAAGTACCTCGATTCCAAAATAACCGTCTCCAAGAAACTTTCGATAGTTCTATTTTTAAGAGGTTCATCCTCTTTGGATCCGGTCTTAATTGGTCCAAAGTCGGACTGTTCCATGAACGTGGTTTACCAGACAACTTGTTATCGGTTATTTTTCACGGCGGCCCGTGGCTGAAATTTTTCTGCGCGAGCTGCTCGGGATCCTCCGTTCCACTTGTGACGGGAGCCGAGCCACGAGCGGCGTGAGAAATGGAGGCGGCAACTACACACAGAGATCGAAGGCCGCGTTACGTCGGACCCGTGGCCAGAGAAACGGCGGCGAGCTTGACAAAGCTACGAGATCTGGGTCGAAGCGAGCACCACGGAACCGAGGCGTTCGAAAAAAAAATGCGAACGGAGGTCGGGAAACTGAGCCATAGACATTTTTATTTTTCCCTATTGCGAAAAGCATTGAAGTCGAAGTAGGCGATGGTGACGTTTAAATAGCTAGAAAGTAAATTTACTGAATTATTGAATTCAGGAATATGATACTTGGAGACGGAAACCACGTCCAACACATTTTTGGTATAGAAGAAAGTTCAGGCTTATTAAACTATTGTTTAAATAGTTGTAATAGTAGTAAATGCAATATACGATTTCACAGTTGAAAAAGAAGAGACGATGAATTTTAATTCGTACAATTAATTGGGCTATCGCGAAAACAGTGACTGCAAGAAGCACAGCGTAATTGTACTTTTGCATCTAACAATATATTTCCGTCGAGCATCCGATGTGTAGTAATTGAAAGCCCAAGCGGACCTTGAATTTCTAGTTCTATAACAACAATTAACCCGTTGTCGTCAACAGCCGCCTGAGAAGCAGCCGGAACAGTTAGGTACATTCATTAACAGTTTCGCAAACGCACAGGTATTTCCAATCGATCACTTCTGTTGAAAGTAGACTCGTAAAGTTGTAAGCTTGCCCAAAAAATATTGTAAAATATTGTCAAATATTGTAATTTATTTTTTTCACTATCAAGGGGCAATAGTGGTCAGTTCACTTGAAAGCGAGCACTACTGCACCATCGCAAGCTAAGGAGGTTAAACAAAATTCTATAGTCGATTGAAATACCGTAGCCTGATCGCGCTCGTTTCTCGTCAGCCAGCATTAACTTTCAACGTTTCCGTGACCTCGTCCCTTTTTCGCGCCCAGAGGAACGGTCCCACGGCTTTCGTCTCGCAGATTGTAAAGCCTAATCGGCCCGTGACGAAATATTCTGCCTTCCACGGCTAGAGGTTGCGGTAACCATGGGGCTTAACCGTAGGATTTCGTGTTACGTGAAAGTAGTACATCTTAAATTATCTCAACTCTCCTTAAAAAGAGTTGAATTTCCATAAATTTACTAGAAAACATAACGGATTGTACGTGAGCTTCCTGACAGTATCAGTTAGGCCCAAAATCTATGTTGCTTGGGGCCCCATGAAGGTGTACTGCGTCACTGCCAGGCTTCCTACGTGCCTATGTAATTAAACGTAATTAAGCGGCCACCTTATCCGCGGACAGCGAACGCCTTTCCCTTCTTCGCAGTCTTCTTTTTTTTCCCCTTTTCGCGGCTCGTGCGCGATTCATTTTCCTAGCAGCCGCGCCCGAGATTTCTCGCGGCTTTTCTACTTGCCCGCCAGATAAATTTCCGACCCGTAACCCCGCCGTTTCACTGGCCAGGACCGCGTGAATCCGGTGAGAAATCGTCCGCGGTCGACAGGCGAATCGCGGGAGCGGAGAACGTGCGCAGGAGACCCTGTCCATGTTACCAGAGGTACCTCCATGTTTCCCATTTTGATACGCGTGGACTGACTGCTTTGGCTTATCAGGAAATTGATATAGAATAGCTTGCAACTATGCAATCCATTGTTTTTTCGTAAGAGCTCGAGACTGATGCGAGCATTTAACGTACATGGGACTTTTCCCCTAGTGATTTATATGTATAGACGTTTGAAGTATTCGATGACTTCTATGTGTGCCCTATCTTTGTCTAATATTAGACGAATATAGCCCTCAGGGACTGTAGCACCAGCATACGCAGCTACACTACGGGTTTAGGCGATCCCGAGGTAACCGAGCTAAAGGGGGGCCAGCATGTCCCTACAAATATAAGAATTAAGAGATACTGCATACAGCACTAAGGCAATGTAGAAGTTATACAAGACAAAGAAATGTTAAGAAGAAGGGAAATAATTGTATATAAGCCAAGCTAAGGCTATATAAACGATAATAAACGATCTAGTCTACAAAAATAGCCAGACAAAGAGAAGCGTCATGTGTATGCTATAACCTGACAAAATGCTGTCAGCTATAGTCTCTGAAGAATTGATCGATGAATACAGTTAGACGAAAAGGGTGACGAAGTGGCACCGAAGCCACATTTGTCTGGGTATTTGTGACTAGCAATTTAAAAACCATGATTGTATCTGAAACCCGACCGATGCGCGCTGAGCGTGTTTAGACGTGGTCAGAGTATATTCGGCGCATCGTCGGACAAATGTGCGAACTCAATATGAAGTATTTTTAGCACGGCGCGGTTTGGAAACGTTTGGTTAGCGGGAATTGGGTTCGTGGATTCGAATTATTTACTTCGATTCGATCCGGTAGTGATTTGTTCAGTTTGATTCCATTCCATGGGGAGAGCCCTCGGTTAATTCTGTTCCAAAGTAATCGAGCAATTTTGATTAGAAGGATTTCATACTATTTTTCCATCAAAGAATTCATCTTAAACTGGGTTGAGAAAATGATGGCATAAGTAAAAATATTTCACTCGATAAGATTTAAAAGTATTCAGTCCAATTAGATTCAAAATCTATTCTCGTCCACCTCGATTGCAATTAGCAGTTAATTTCATACGGTTCCATAAATAAACAGTCTCTGCCATAACCTAATTTTTAATACCCAATTTTACGGAACCGATCGTACATCCCCGCAAATCTGGTGTCTCCGTCGAATCCACGCCAGTAACAATCGCGAAAAGCCCGATAATCCACTCAGACAAACTCACCTTGTTGTGGGGCAGCTGCGTGGGCACGTACAGCGGAGGATCCAATCCAGGACTCGTCACTGCATGACGGCCGATAATCCTGTCCGCCGGTTTCGCGTCGTATCCTTCCGGCTGGCCGATGTGGAAGCCCTTGCTCTTCACCCAAAATCGAAACTTACTGTTCTCCGCACTATTCACTTCCTCACCTCTGAGTGTTCTCAGTATACGCGCGTACTTAGTGATCGTGATCGTTTTGGTCTTTGCCAGGTCCCCGTAGGTTTTGATCACCCATGGTTGATACGCGTTAAACATCCCGTCGTTTTGGAACTTTTTGGGCAGACTCGCGCCTTCTGCTTGGCCCTTCTGCATGCCGTACTCAGTCCCGTTCACCGTAGAAGTTATCCCAGGAAAGGGCATGGGCACGCTCTTAGAGTCCATCGCGCTGCCCGCGGTCCCATTAGCGGACACGTAGCCCGAACTGAGGCTGCCGGATCCGTTCGAGCTCAACGAACCTCCGGTCATGTTGGAGATGTCCAAGTATGATACCGAAGAGCTCTTGCCGAGGTTGGTTGCGGTTCCAACAAACGTCGCCATAGACGAGGACATGTATGGTATCGGGGTGGGCATACTGAGCCCGCCGGGGCACAAACCAGCCGCCGAACCAGGAGGCATGTTCAGTCCAGCCACCGAAGCGTACGTAGACATGTCGGGCATGTTCGATGCGGTCGTCCAGGTTGGCAGGACCCCGTTGCTCTCCGCTGCTGACGCCTTCGACTGCGCATTGGACCTCGACACCGACCGGCCTTTCGACGTGGGACTGACGTCAGGGGACGACGAAGACGCGGACGCCGCCTTCGTGGCGTTGGTGGACGTCCCACGGGATTTTTTCGTAGGTGGCTCGTCCCGGGTGGTGTTCATCGAGTTCAGATTGCCGTGGGACGGACTGTTGTTGTTCTCAGACCTGGAACGCTTGCTGGACACGCTAGATTGACCCGACGGGGTTGGTGAATTGTTCACCTGCACTCTGCGACGGAGACCCATTGTCGCGCTGGCCATTATTCCTGGCTATATTTAGGACGGGCGCTGCTAGCCGGTTTCTCTGTCGATCGATTTCACCACTGTCACTAGTTCACCGACTGAATCGTCGTCGATCACCGAAACCGTCGACCACCGACAGCATTATCCTGGCAACGTGTACACACACACACATACACACACCGAGAGGAATACCCGGCAGACACTGAGGCACACACACTGATGCTCCCAGGTTCCCGATGCTCCGACGGGGCTGTCGTCGTAGTCGCTTCCGGGTTGAAGACGAAAATCAGCCAACTCTCGCGGAGGAGTCTGCAAAAGAAAAAAGACCAGAGGGATGTGACAAGTGGGATTAGCTATGCGCGATTAAGCGGCGGAAACGTTTAAACGAGGGCGCCGCTAATGGACTAGCCGCCAAGTAGGTGGAAACCGTGGCGCAAGCGGGAGGAGGAGGAGCTGGATAATACGTAGCTGAAATTCACCTACGAAATTGGTTTCTCGTGCTTGCACACGACCGCCTTTCTACGCCTGGGAGAATTCTTTCCGCGTGAAATGACGTGCTCGAGCGGGACACGCGTTACGCAATTTCATTTGGTGGGGGAAAGGTTCGGTGGGCCGAGGAGGATCGGTCAAGTCAAGATAGCAGGACCAGTTATGATTAGGATTCTAGACAAAGTCAGAAGCATCTTTGTAGTGGAATATTCGTATGGTTTATTACAAAACGAAGTGAAACAGCCTGATCAAGAAACAATGAAAGAAGAAAGAAAAACTTCGTGAACTCATGTCGAATTTACACTATGGTGATAGTATTCTTAATTGATAATAGCCTAATACAAATCTAAGTGGCAGATGCAAAGAGAAGTTTCGCAAGGAGCTTTCAACAGTTGCTCCCAGATCCTTTCAGCAACATGTCTGAACATTAGCTGAACCTACAAGTGAACTGGTGATTAATCCACCAAAGTTCCTCGGACAATTTGTCGACTTCTCCAGCTGGTCACTACTCGACTCAAAATAGAAAAATAAGTATAATCCCAGCAATTATCTTCCAACCAGAACACAGATTAGGCCCAGCTATTCTTATTCAGCAGTAAAATATCAGATCGAACTAATTTTCGGTTCGTTCAAGGAGTGTTTCGTAAAAGTGCAATTCCAGTGATCGTCCCAGACACGTATGATCGAGTCAGGGTCGGGGAGGGGAGAAGGAGGAGGACTGTAATCGCGGACCGCGCGTTTACCCGCGACCACAGTTACAAATTTCCCCGTCAGCCGAGTATTCGAGCCCGTGCATGCGCGCCGCTAATGGATTTTCGTAAGACAGGTGTTAGAACGGTGGCGCGACATAGATGGTATGCAATTAGACACGAGCGCGACTCGGACGGCGCGGTGAATTAGGAAACCAGTTATTTAACCATCCACGAACTTCCTTCGTGTATGTCGAGTGCTCGCCGTTTTGAAGTATCGTCTGAAAAAACGGTATGGTCACATGGCGTTTCGAAAATTATTTGGTATAGGAAGATAGAAATATTATGGTTGAATTAATATGTATTAAGAATCATCGGTAAAAAGGAAACCTTCCACTTATGAGAACTATTTCAATACTAACGCAAAAAATATTTCGTCGGAGCAAATCATGAGTTTCAGAGAGCGCACCACGTGTCCCTTAATTGTATTAAACGATTTTTCTGGCGACAGAACTCGCTAACGAAAAAGAACGAACGTGCTGGAACACGAAAATGGCGAAACGAACTTTCAGCTTCCCCTCGGAATATCCCCGCGGGTGGACTCCCTCTACCGTTACGCCCCATGATTCCAGCCCTATCTGAGATCAAACTAACCCCCGCCTGTTATGATCGAGACTAGACCCTCTCTGATCGGGGGATGGAACCGTCGAACACATTGAGGGCGTTCATAGCCTCTGCGTTAAATTCTGCGATGCATAGTGTGGCATACTTAATGGTGTTTCAGATAAAACGTCTGAGATTTCCACAATTTCAGCGGGTACCTAACGTGTAGATTTCAAGATTAGTGTAAATAATAGTGTAAATATCATTGGTGGTGATGTTTGGTTGAAAGAAATATTGTTTGTGTGTTTTTATTGATGAGTAATTTTGAAACGCGACGTAATACGTCCACCCTAATCACACGTGGCTTCTCATTTGCAAACACTGAGTCATTCTCGACTGCAAACACTGCGCCATTTGTAGACTGCGGAATCCTGCGTCATCTTAACCTTGATCTATCCTTCCTGGGCGAACCCTGATATTTTGAATAATCTCCCATGCAATGAAATTATTTGTAATCTGTGCACTTCTTGATACCGCATAATCCAACGTCAAAGGCGAAGTAACACGTTCAAGCGGTGTCTGAAATATTGCCTACCGACAAAGTAGTTCTCAGAACAGCCGGCCCGTGCAACGGAACCACATTTCGCTCTCATTATTATCGCCGATACGACAGCCGTAACGAACGGACATATACACAGATAAGCAGTGTCAGATAATCTCAAAGTAAACCCAAGACCGAATACTAATTCAATAAGGCCGATCGAACTATCCGCGGCGATAGCACGGATCGTATAATGAACTCGCCGCAACGTATCCGCGCTCCCTCAGATAACAGAAACTGAGCTCGTGGGACAACGATACGCGTCCCCGCCTCGCTTTTACGTGACGCAGATTTCACAAAGAGACTCTGCCAAAACTCTAATCGCAAGCACAGAAACGAGAGGTCGTTGTTACTTGAAATCAATTTTTAAAACAGACTCCTATAACGATAGTACCGTGGATGCTCCGAGGTGAAGCCCATGTTCTGCAGACATTTTGATTGCTTCCGAGTTCTTTTCGAGACGTTTCATAAGCACAGTTCAAGTACTTTAAAAGAATATCAATTAAAGCTAGTCCCCAACAATTTGTCAGAAAATTCTTTGAATCCAAACATATCTCAGAGGCTACAAAATTCAGACATTTGCCAGCTTTCTATAAAAGGCGTGCAATCCTAGCTTTGAATTAGCTTCGAACCTTCTGATCTTTCCACATCGTCTACGCTCAGACGCAATTCCAGCACGAAAGGGACATTTATTCGCGCTGAACGCTGGCGAGAGAGGAAATGAAAAACGAAAGCGCGATACAAGCGACTTGGCCGTGGACGATTTTCGAAGCTCGTCGCCAGTTACGAGGGATTAGAATCCAAGGAAACGATAACGAAGCAAGTCCAAGAAGGGAACCGATGGAATGAGGCCGATAGCCTCGACGCAATATAACCGCGCTCCTTTAGGTGGCAGAAACGAGGTCTTTAGCGCGGCGGCTTAAGACGCCGCACAGCTTACTGTAAATTATCTTCTGCGTCGTTATCAAAGATTGCGCGCGCGACCGAGAATGAAAATTGAGGGAAAATCGTTGCGGCTCGAGGCCTCGCGTCCACTTCTATTGCAAATCTTGGAGACAATCGACTCCATTTCCGTTCTCGCAATATATGATTGCGATGTGTCAGGATAACATCTGTGCTACGCCTATGTTAGATCCGTGCTGAATCTATGCGGCATCTGGTTTACATTTACGTCAGGTCTGGATGAGCTCGGGGCTTATGATTGTATCTACGATAGATCTGTTATGGTTAAGGAATCTGGTGCATTTTAAGCCTATTGTAGGTCTGAGTGCTCTGAGGTATCAAGAGGAGTTTAGAAAGTACTTAAAATCTCACAAATGGCAGTTGACGAAGGCTTGATCTTTCATAAACTAAGGTTGTCATTGTTAGATGAGGAAAGAACAATGGCAAGATCGTCAGAGAAAGAACTGGCCATGGTGGTAGCCTTGGTACCCTCCAAGATAATCAGATACTTCTAATCAGAGGCCTGTCTAGGAAAAACTAGAACTCTGAAATGACCTCGCATGCCGCAGAATTCAGATGTCGCGTAGGAATGAACGGAGGAATGCCATCGCTATAGAGCAGTGTGAGCTATGGCCGCAGGTAAAATTGGACCGTTCCAACAAGCCAAGCGATGAGTACTTGATGACGTTAATGACGCCAGGCTGAGAAAATTGATGGCGAGAGCTTGCATTAGTTTTCCTGAAAATTGAACATGCCGCGCAGATTGTCCTAAATACACGTTTTCCACGAAACGTCACTTGTACCACGTTCTTACGCAAGTGCCAATTTTCCTGTAACTATTCGTGACACGTTTGATTTTCACTCGAGACAAAAGTTTGGTTAATTTTTCTCAGATGGCGTGTCTCATCGATTTTGACGAAACTCCTAGCGATCCTTCAGGTTCCTCCAAGTCCCTTCAATTTATCTCTACCTTGAGGTACGAGAATTTTTCCGACGACACGTCTCGACTCGTTTTCTCCTCAACCGAGTTTGATCAATTTTCACAGCAACTTTATCCTCGAACGGAATTCCTACCTATTTCCTCGAGACCACCCGTTTAATTTTCCTGAAGAATCTCTCGTCAGCTTTTACATTAATGGCAAGTCCACTTATGTGTGTGAATGAATTTCTCGTTCAGAATTAAGGGACTGACAAATAGTGAGTAAGTCAGCCTTTCCTGGTATGGTTACAGTTTTGTCGGGTTAACTGGCACAGTAGTGGGTTAAAAAATGATTGAAGTAACTACCAGAAACATCCATTACTTTCAATTGATAAACTTCTCCTGTCCAACCTGTCTGCCTACGCAAACATCTCAAACGCTATCAATTTACACGAGCCAACGCGTCTCAAGTTTTTCCACGACAAGTTTCAGTGGCTCGACGACGAAAACTCCCGAGCAATTTTCTTCGTCGACCGCGACCCGCACACGGCGGCCTCAATGCGCAATCGATTACCATGGTCGAACCTCGTGGCAACCGATACCGGATACAATAACCCGAGTGCAATAGCGGCCGCGCTCCTTTAGGTGTCAGAAACGGGGTCCTCTGGTCGGCCGCGTCCCGGCTTAAAGCTGCACACAAGTCACGTACAGGCATGGGACCACCAAGTATTATGGCGCGTCCTCTGGCTTGGCCAACCCTCTCCCCAACCTTCTCTGCAGGCCCGCCGTACACACATTACCGAGCGGCGTATAATGTGGGCGCCGCTTGCACACTGAGCGGGCCGGTGTCACGCTACGTGCTTCCTGCCCGCAGGCCGTGGTGTGACAAAAGGCCTTATGTCCGCCCGCTCGTGGAACACTCGTGATCGCAATGTGTAATCAAGCTCGCATGGCCACTGTATTACCACGTACACCTACCGTGGCCCGCGGGCATCCTGTACGTGCACGAGCCACACGCGCGCGCGGGCCATCGCCAGCCGCTTCCCTTGCAGGACACGGCCCCCCCTCCCCTTTCCACGATCGGTTTCGCAAGGCAGGCCATCGGCGCCCACTTTTCTACTCGATTCGTCTCGCCCGCTCCACGCGCGCACGGATCCCAACGGAACCTCTCCTCCGCTCGTGTCTCCGGGGAGCAAAGAATTTTTAACACTTTGACGGCCAGTAGAAACCTAGCCCGGATTGTTTCCTTTACGGGGCTTCTTCGGGACAGATATGTTTAAGGACTGGCAGCAAACCTTGCGTTTAAAATGAAGGTGATTATGTTCGGCTCGCGTAGGTCCGGATCATAGACGTTTATGGTCCAGACACAACCCGTGGACATAGCTCAACGAGAATGCATGGGGTAGTGGGCAGTGAAAGTACGAATATTTAAGTTACTTCTGTTAAACGTCGTGTAATAATAGTAATGCAAAAGGGATGGAAACTTTGTACCATCCGAATTGAGATAATGTTGCCATAACTAAAATCCTAAAGGCAAAGAATCAAACGATATTACTAAACAAAGTGAAAGTTAATTTAATTTTCAATGGTCTGTTCCCAATGAAACACAAACAGAGAAGGAGGCAGAAAGTCACGGACGAAAAAGGCCTGTCGTGCTGGACGTAGCAGTTGGCGCGCGTTGCACTTTTGGCAGTTGTCGAGCCGCGTTGGGACCCTGCCTGCCTCAAGTAACGTGTTTACCTAGAGTCTAGGTCCTAGACTATTGATCAAAGCGAATGAGATCTTTGTTCGGCGGAGGTGTGCGGGCGCTGGAAAACTTCGGGCCAGGGAGTGACGGGAATTTTTGTCGATTTCCACGCGGATAGGTTCGGATGCTCGAGGTAGCTCGAGCACAGTAGCTATAGAAAACTTGCAGGACATCGACTCGACAACCCAACGACAGGCTCCACGACTCGGTCAAATTTTTCTATATCCTAAGTAAAGATTTGTCTGGGTCAAAGTTATGCAAAATTTGGAAATTTACGCATTCTATAAGTTCATAATAAATGCATGAAAAATTTCTAAAATATTTGGAAATTCATACACTTTATAAATTCATAAAAGTTGCATCAGAAAGTCGATAACAAATTTCTGAAAAAGCGAAAAAATGGTAGAAAGTCATGATTTTTATATGTCTATAACAAATGCATGAATAAAAATACGTATTCTTTCCAACCAAAAACCAAATGTATTCGTAACTCTAACGAATATCTAGCGAAGAAAGCACCTTTTACACTAGAATGACCAACTACACTAGAACTACTGCGTCTTTGAAAGTAGATGAAGAAGTAAATTAATTCACCAGTATAATTAGTTCCCTATTTCAGTATTCACAACCAACAATCATTTCTGAGGCATCGTTAATAATTGAGTAAATTTAAAAAGGAGTTCAAAATATATTGGTTCAACTTGACTACGGCTCGATTCTAATGCTAATTCCTCGTGAAATCGTCGAATCTCTAACGGCTCGGCGCATAGAAAAGTCGACGCAGACAATTTCTGCACCAGTCGAGTCTAATCCGCCGCGAACATCCGCCTTTCGTGATACCCGTTAGACCGAGGAGAAAACGTCGAAGACTTCGGTCCCGAGTGGCGGTAAGTTGAATTCCCAAACGGGCGGGTGTGGCGACCGCCCCGCAACGGGCACCGAAACGGATGCCGCTATCTCCACACCACCCCAACTGCCCCGTCGTTCCTGTGCGTCCGTTTTCAACTTTTTCCATTCATTTTTCTTTCTCTTTTTTCCACCGACCGCGAGGAACGATTTTTTATTCCAAGGAAACGTTACGCGATACGGAGCGTTTCCGAAACACGAGAAATCCCAAAGAGAACGTGTTCCCTAGTAAAAATATCGTGTTGAGAAATATCGAGAAAAACAGACGGAATTGTATTAGATTAACAGACGACGAATAAAAACTTGGTTGTGTATTCGCAACGATCATCATACGAATGGCACATCAAAGATCGTTAATTATGTAAACTCTGTGCCTAGGTAAGAATTTTGCCCGCCTTTATGGAGATTCTCTCGCAACAGAGATCTCTAAAAGAAAATCGACGCGAATTCGTTGGAAATTAGATTGAATCGATCGAATTCATCGTCGAAGCATCACGGAAAATCCTGGGAAAGTGTCTGATCGATCGCGAGAGTCGAGCGTGACTAAATCGCTCGAAGCACTGTCACCGAACATCACAAAGAGAATTCCATGATTTCCAAGCCCGAAATCGGCTGACAGGCATACTTCGACTCGCGAAAGCGTAACACTGGCGTCCTGTCGGCGTCGATCGAACACTTTACCAGCCCGCTCCGGGACACTTTTTTATTGAAACAATATATTTTTCGGATTCCAAAGCAATTGGAACCTCGACACTCGACACTGAGAACGAATTCGAACGACGACTCGAATTAAAAAACGCATGAAAGGAATCGGAGTGCAATATCGGCGACGGCAAGGAGAAATCGTCGATCTCCGTATTCATGGAATGTTGACGATTCCGCGAGCTTCAACGAGCCGTAAAACGCATCGAAAAAAAAGCGCAGCCGCGGTAACACACGTACAATTACCGCCGCCTTTTGAAACGCGGTGTTATCGGCGGGACGTTTGTCAGCGCAGTCTTCAAAGACAAAAAAAGGAAACACTCACTGTTTGCAGTCGTCGCGACGATTTCAGACTTCGTCACAATAAGAAAAGGAAATCCAACGTTTGCACGAGACAAAGAAAAAAAAACAAACGCGCACCAAGTCCAGAGGATAAAAAGAACGTGAACACTAACTCGCATAAGCACGAATACTATTACCGACCTGTAGAAGAGCACGGTAGCCAGCAGAATTCTGAATCCTCACGTATCCAGCGTGACGATCCGTGCGTGCCGCGTGTCCACGTTCCGAAAGTGTCACCTCCCTCTCCCAGTCGGCTTCAGAAGACGTGCACGAAGATCCGTGAAAGGAGGAAGAAGAGGCGAGAGATCGGGCGAGCCAGTCGCGGTCGGACGATGTCGGTGGCGCGCACTGCTACTCCGTTTCCCTCTCTGTCTTCCCTCCCAACTCTTTCGTCTTCCTTTTCCTTTTCTTCTCGTTCCCTCTCGAAAACCACCAGCTAGCCGCGCACACGTTCGACGTCGCGCGGCGGCAACGAGCCGAGTATAGGAAGAGAGCAGCGCGACGTGTCCGCGCGAGACGCAAAGGAAAGAGCGCGGGCGCTCCCGTGGAACGAAGGAGGAAAAGGGAGAGCAGGAGCAGATGCCGAAGGAGCCAGCGCGGGAGGGTGGGAGGGAAACCGAGCGGCGGCGGCGGCGGCAGACTCGGTTGACTCGGTGGCCGAGCGGTATCTCACCCGCGAAAAGCGTCCCGCGATCAGGTGACAGCGGGAGTACACACCGGCGCTACCCGTGGAGCGAGAGAGAACGACTGGGAACGAAAGGAGCCGAGCGAACGGGACAGAACGGTGGTGGGGGGCGCGTGGTGGGACGGCGGGAGTTAAACACGCCGACGGAACGAAGAGGGAGCGCCTTGGCGCGAGAAGGAGGCAAGGCGTATGACTGACGGCGAAGAGAAGCACCGAGAAACTGCCCAAAGAAAAAGAAGAGGAAGGCGGACGGTGAGGAACGAAGAGGAACCAGCGTAACGGAGACGAGACAGCGAGGAAGATACGAAGTCGGTGTGCAGCAGGGTACCCGTCGGGGTGGAAACGCGCGCGCGCGCCTCTTTCTCGAAGGGGGACGTCGAGGGAGAGAAGGGCTCCCTGATCGCTTCTGAGTGCAAACGGTTCGGCGTGCGGTGGGACACTGGCAAGCGGGCTGAAACTGCTGTGGATAGCGGGTGGCGAGCGGTGCGATACTCCACGGGACGGGACGGGCCGAGAGCCGGGCCGGGACCCCCATCCACAGACGCACACAAGCGTGTCGCCCCTCGCGCGGCGACTCGACGCGCCACGCAGAGAGCGGGCCGCACACAGTCGTGGCCTCGCACGGACAGTGAGTCAGGCAGGCAGGCAGCCAGGCAGGCAGGCAGGCAGGCAGGCAGACAGGCAGGCGAGCGAGGCAGCGCGTACGAGCCACGACACGTTACTACGCCAACGGCGCTGCCTGCCCTCGGCTGGATTCGGTCTCGCTCGGGCGGCGTTGGTCTGACTTTGTCGTCTTCGTCGGCCCGACGCTCTCCGTCCTCGTCGGACTCTAGTAACTCGTCTTTCGGCGCGATTCTCTCTCGTTTCCATCCCCCCTCGTCTCGTCTTTCTCCTCACCCCACCTCACAGCCGATGCTCCCTTCCGCAAGCTCGCTCCGTCTCTTTTTTTCCTCTCTTCTTCTCTTGCTCTCGGATTCTCGCCTATCGTCTCTCTCTGGCACGCTTCCCGTCTCTCTCGGACCGTGTGCACCGCTCCCTTGGTCTCTTTTTCCGAGCGTCGGCTTCTCTTTGTCGATGCGTCCTCGTCTCGCCGCGTCCCTCTCCGTTAGACTCTCCGTCACTTCTCGTTGCGCCGTTCTCGCGTTCTCTTCGGTTTCCCGCCGTCCTTCTTCGACCCTGTCGGTAGTCTCCGTCCAGCGCGCGCGCGAGCGAGCGCGCCCACACCGGAGCGGTAGCATATCGTAGGTCTGCCTGCCTACCGGAACTTTTCAGACACCGTCGAACGCGCGCGCGAGAGAAAGAGAGAGGAAGAGAGAAAAAGAGTGGAAAAAAGGGGCTGAGAGAAGAACGACGGAGCGACGTAGGAGCGAGAGGGAGCTGGCGATGCGACCGCGGGGATGTAACGGGTGTGGATGGAACGTCGGCGCGACGACTGGACTTGTTCACGAATTTTTTCGGATACCCGAGGTGGAAATTGCTTCCAGAGAAATTGGATTTCACGATAATGGCGCGAATCGGTTGCGGAGATTTTCAGGAAACCAAAACGCCGGGAAAGGAGCACAGAGGCCCGCCTCACGCTCGATTCGTCCCGGTATCGGCGGCAGTTGTAAGTTTCTTGATACACGCGAGAACTCGTGCACGTAAACTCCGCTCTTCCGAATTTACGGATATCTGGGGATCGTCGTAGCGGAATGGAATTAAATTTTTCGTGTAACTTTAATGCCACCCAGGCATGCCTGCTGGGATGTCTTGCTGTTGGCGTTGAAATTGATGCAAATGTAGAAAATTCTTTTTGTGACTCTGAATGCCTTTATAGAGGTTCTGTTGAGCTTCCAGCTAGACTCAACACCCGAGCAGTAAACTGTCACTTCTTCAAGCAGATTTATGTAATATCTTCGTCATTGGCTGGCCTTTCGAGGTACAAATCACCGCTAGTTGCGATCGTATTCAGACTTAGAAGGAACATCGCCCAATTAGCAACGTTCTATTTTGATCGAACTTGGCACACTGGGTACTGGAAAATGCTAGGCATCGAAAGTGTACATGTCTATTGTTTAATACTTCATCTGAGTGCCAAGTTTTGTAAAAACTGGAAGTTCTAAATTGGACGATGTCGCTTGTTAAGGTAACTTGGGGTGGGTGTGTCCTTTGACACAGAGAATCTAGGTACTGGATAAGCGTTTTTCGAGCGTGGTCGGGCGGAAACAATGGCGACCAATGGATGTTAACAAGTATTAACGCCTACGCTTCATGTTTACACTGCGGTTACGAAGGCCGCCAGAGTCAAAGTTATTTGGTCCTAATGCCTATCCCCAAACTACTTCAACTTCCTTAACAAGAACGGGAACGCCAAAACCGTTGATCCCCAAGCTTTGCCAGGCGATGGTACGAGAAGATAAAGAATAATCGTCCAACTGTCGGGTCTAGGCGGACGGTTCGGTCAGCGCAAAACGCGCGGAAGCTCCAGCCGCTTTCGTCGCGGCGCTTCCGATCGGGGGCAAGGCGCTCTCAGCTATTCCAACAAAGTATTCCGCACAGTGCCGCGGGCGCAGTCGCTGAGTCTCCGAAGTTGCCTTAATCTCGATCCGCCTCTCTCACCCCGCGTCACTGGTAACGACAGACTTTGAGGGTGACTTTGCGTTTGTGGAGAGAGAGACTGCGAGGGCACTATTGAGACTGGCCGCGGCTCGGAGGGGGACAGGTATAATCCGCGCGAAGAAAGAACGCGAGGGAGAGAAAGCGAGGAAAGGAAGGCGACGTCGGAGGGAGAAACGGGAATACCTGAGCACAAAGGCGCGCTCGAAATGGCAAAACGCAGGCGTCCACGGACGGACGAATACGTGGGACTCTCCGTAGCCTGGACCCGCATCTCGCGACAACCAGGCGTCCCTTAACGCTCGACGCCGCTCGTCCCAGACGGCAAACGCATTCGTTTCGGGTTACGGCGTGATTGTCGCCTATGAAAGCCGGCCGATCTGTCCGCAGAAGGTTGCGGGGGAAGAGAACAAGCCGGGGAGATGAACACAGTGGGAGGGCGGTACCCCTTAACACCGGGCACGAGGCAAAAAGGGGTCCAGCTGCGCTGCATCCTTGTCCGGGCTGCTCCGAAGGGGGTCCCAGAGATTATTAAAATGCCGGAGGGGTGGGGTAGCGTTCTACTGTTACCGGGGCAGCGTAGCCACGAAACCGGTAACCCCCTTCGCTTCCCCGCAGCTCTTTCCGTCTCCCTTCGGCAGGCTGATTCGGTATTCAAGTTTGAGTCGCGGTGCATGGGCCGCTGCATAAAATTCGAACTTCCTCTGCCCCCTCCCCCACAATGATACCAATCAACTCTGAGCCACTGAGCCTACCAATCAGGAAGGCTTTGATGCGTGGCGACAAAAATTTTCGGGGCTAATTCTATCAAGTGTCCGAACAGCACGAGGTGCTGGAGAGTCAGAAAGCGGCTTTGAATGCTTAACGCCTCGGTGCAAATGAATTGGCAGTCACTATTTTGTAACTTATAAGCGGTTACCTGCTCTTTAAATTGTTCGAGACTCATAGACGCAAACAATGAAATATTGACAAAAAAAAATATTGATTCGTTAAAACTACCTCCGACGAATCATGTAGACATCGAAGATTTGACGCAATTGCGTACGATCCCTGTCATCGTTTAACGACCTAAACGACCGAAGCTTAGGACCTTCCGACACCTTGTAGCTCCTTGGACACCTTGCACTCACCGACACAAAGAATCTACAAGCGCTCGCAGTCCGTCCCCTCGGAACTAGTTACCTGCGAGCTTTAAAGATCCTAATACTTTGTTTAGGGTGGACCCATTGTCGAGGACAGTGCGCTAAATGAGTCTATTACACGAGGACTCGACTGGGTGCCAAAAAAGTATTGCCTCGAGCAATTTTTTTAGCGTCTACGTGCAAGGTGCCCCATTCTAAACTTGCTGGGCTAGTGTGTGTTAGCTCTATGTGTTAACACTTTACCCGGGAGTATATTTAATAGCTGCCTAGGCTCAGTGCCTGCCAACTGGAGTCTTAATTGTGCAACTGGAGTGTTAATTGTGCAACTATTCAACAATTTAGAACATTGCAAGAAATTAATACAGGACCCAATCGAATTCGTGTGCAAGTGGACTGCCAGGTGGAGTGTCAAGCTAGGGTTCGTGTTTTAAAATAATTGTTAAGATACTCACACAAGGGTCGTTCGTCTAAGGAAGTCTGAAGATCCAGGCCGTCCAAGTCGTCCAATCAGCTTCAGTGTCCTTCGAAGGTGAACAGCTCTATCTGCAGCAAAAGAGAAGTCATCGTCAACCGACTGTCATCTTTATGATGTGGACTAGATTATCAAGTTTCGATGTCATCAGTTTCTTGATGGATTACGACTCAACCCTAAAGAAAACACCGGACACAAGGCTTCCGAGTCTGCTAGTTTTCGCCTGCTCCCAATTTTAGATCCTCTCTCTTACCTTCGATCCAGGAACCGCTTACTCACGGGCCAGGCGCGCATAATCGCGCGGAAACGTTCCACAAACAGCTACGCCCCGGGGTCCATAGATTCCCGCCGAGTTTGTCCCGGATATCGTCTAGGCCAGCTGCGGGGAGGATCGTCGGCAACGTCCCGTCACTAATTACATTCTCCTCGCGCAATCACGGCCGCGTGTACACTTACAGGCGTCCCGTTCCGTCTCTCTGGCCCGCGTCCAATTCCCCGCTGGATCAGAAGCTCCTTGGCTATCGTCGAGTCCTCTCCTTCACGCTCGCGTTCTTTCTCGAAAGCGGTCTCCCCCGCTACCTGTTCTCTCCGGCTCTTGCTCGAGATGCCCGGGCACGTAAGCCTGCACGCGTGCGAACGACTCCAGACCTGGAAATCCTGAAACACCTTGGTCCCACAGGTTATTGAGGTGTCTCGCTGCGGGACGAGCAAGGACGATGTGATTGGTGTTTTTTTGTAACGGAGGTGCACGAGCAGCTTCCAGCTTAGAAAGCTACTGGTCAGCTTGAGACAGAGGGAAGGTCTCTTGGAAGGAGAATTACAATCTCAAGGATGGAACAAATTAATATCTACCAGGAACAATGGAAAATGTAGTTACTTGGAGGAAAATTATGAACTATGTAGAAACTATGTAGAATTATGTAGAAATACTTATGTACACTTTATACAGAGATACCTACCATGATGAATCTCAATAATTAATGAATATATACACACTATATCTATCATATTTTCTGAAACATAAATACTTAAACAATTTATATACAGTCGAAATATATTAAGTTGTCAAGGAAACTTAGCAATTATTATCACAGTCTAGTCACCCAGCTTAGATGTGTCAGGAAGAAATAGAACTAATTTCGTGTAAAATTCACCTGTCAACCCAATCAATCTCGCAGTCGATACTGGGATAACAAAAAAAAAAAAAAAAATACAAAAACCGTGTATCGACTTCCATTAAAAGGGAAACCGTAATATCCGTAGCGTCGAAAGCGATAAAATTTTATCAGCGTCGGAGTGCGTCGTACACGCGAGCACGCAAAAATCCATACACGCGGCTAACCCCCTAACACACCCTCGCATTACGGGGTGAGATCTGTAAAAGTTGAAACACTCGAGCAGGGAAGCGTCGCGCGTTTATCCGCACGATTGCGCGCAGATATCGAGCCGTGGCGATATCTTCTCGAGTCGTTTCCGGTATCGGAAACTTTCCAAGGAACGATGCAAAAAGGGAAAGGAGCGATTATCCTTGGACAGGATATCCAACCTTCGCGATAGAACGTAGAATCTCTTCACTGGCAAATTTCGCACTGGGAACTATCGCGTGAGAAAATTCTAGAATTCTTGAGAGAATCGGTTTCAATTCTTGAATTTCTTGGCGAATCAGAGAGGAATTCTGGAATTCTTGGTGTGAGTG